GTGAGTGGGGGCTGGCTCTGTGAGTGGGGGCGGACCTTCCGGAGTTGTACTGACAGTGAAGCTGTATTATCCCTGCAGGGCTGCATGGAGAAGGTGCAGGCATGGCTGCAGGAGAACCTGGGCGTCATCCTCGGCGTGTGTGTGGGCGTGGCCGTCATCGAGGTCCGGGTCCCCTACCCTCCAGCTCTGTCCTCCCTGTATGCCCGTACCCAGCTGCTGTCCGCGTGGGGAGGCTGAGGCCCTGTTAGCTTCTAGAGGCCCTGAGGCCTGAGCACTGGCTGCTCTGTGACCTTGGACGAGGTGCCGTCGTTTCTGGGGCCCTCTCTGCTGCCTGCATCGTGGGGTGGGGTGAGGCTCTAGCTGACGCTCCCTTCATTCGGATCAGAACCTGTATGTTGGCCTGGGTGCTGAGGCTGGGGCCTCTGGGGGCCTGGCAGCCCTGGCTCCCCCTGACTGTCCCCCTGTCTGTCCACAGCTCCTGGGAATGCTCCTGTCCCTCTGCCTGTGCCGGCACATCCATTCCGAGGACTACAGCAAGGTCCCCAAGTACTGAGGCCGCCGCAGTCGCCCCCCTGCCAGTTGGACCTCAGGGCTCCCAGGGTCTCCCTGGCTCCCCCCGGCCACCTTCCTCCTCACTGCCAAGGCCTTCCCTTGCCTGTCCTGTGCTGGCTGGCCGTGGGGGGCTCTCGGGCCTGGCCCCCTGCTCTGCCTTTCTGCTGCCAGCCTGCAGCCCTGGCTGCTCTGCGGCGCTCTCGTTCGCTGCCCACTGGGCTTCTCTCGGCAGCTCAGAGACTATGGGGGAGAGGTGGGTAAGGTCCCCTGTGCTCTGGGGCCCTGGCCCCTGGGTGGGGCCCCTTCTCTCCACTGTGGCACCTGCGCCTTTGGTCTCCACACGCTGGAGGTAGTAGGGGTGGGACGTGGCTGACCTCACCCTGAGGCTGGGTGCCCCTTCCCAGGCCTCCCCCGCTTGGCCCCTGCCGTGGGGCTGGATCTAGGGGAGCTGGGCTGAGGGAGGTCAGCCTGGGAAGAGGGTCTGGCTTGGCCCCAGCTGCCCAGGGACAGTAAGCGCTCTTGGGGTGTGGCACCAAGCTACCCCGCAGTCTCCAGCATCCTGGTTGTCCAGGAAAGCAGGGAGAGGACGCCTTTCCTGGGAGGACCTGGGCTGGCCGTTCTTGGCAAGCTGTCCTCCAGCCCCGGGGTGTGGGGTGGGTGAGGCTGTGCCTCGTCGAGGGGAGGGAGGGGTACCTGCAGGTACAGTGCTGTAAAACACGCCGAGCTCCACAGACTATTAAAGAAGATTTGTAACAACCCTGCCTGAGACTGTGGGTGCTGCTTCCCAGGACGGGCAGGGCTGAAGGAGGCCGGTGGGCAGAGGGGCTGGGCCCGCTGCAAAGGGGGGTGGGCACCTCACCGCCAGCCCCCAGGAATCGCTGGCCCCTCTCCAGCCTGTGCATGAGGAGCGTGGTGGGGCAGGCTCTGGGCACCCCGCCCGCCGCAGGGTCCCTGGAGCACAATCCGTGTGTTAAGAACTATCGATCGCACCCCTCGGTTCCTGCTATGGCCCGAGGGAACAGGTGCCCCCAGGAGGGCACAGAAGTGGGCAGCAATGGCAGGGGCGTGGTTGGATCAGGCAGGCAGGGAGCCACAGGACAGACTGTCCCTGGAACAGCTTTTTTGGAGGTTTTAGTGCCAGATGGTGCACGCACTCATCAGAAGGAGGCTCTGAGGGGGAGGGAGAAGGCACCCCGGTGGGATGTGGTCACGCCGCAATCCCTTCTCCTCCACCTCTCCATCCTGTGGGACCTGGTGTTTGCACACACGTACCCAGTGTGCTTTTCAAGCCTCCAGAGTGGCGGGGGTGGAGG